TGTATACTTAGTTAACATGTCATGATGAGCTTTAGAAAAAAGGCCTTGTAATGCATGCCGTATTTTATCTCTCTATCATTGTAACCCTTGCTTTACCATATTTTAAGGTGTACGTGTCATATTTTTTTAACATGATTAATATCATAAAATTGAACTTTCAATGTTTGCATAGTAAGTTGAATTAAGATTTCACTGACCATTTCAAGTGCAAAAACACAACAGTTACTCATATAAATAAACTAAGGCTGTAATATTTCATCAAAATATTTTAAAATATGCAAGTATTAAAATCCAAGTAAATTCAGTGAAATATATATGCAAGTAAACCTGATTTAGTTTGACATGCAAAAAGATTTTTTAAGCAAAATCGTAAGAACAACCCAAGGAGGCCGAAGGTTACATTCAATTTTCTTTTCTAAGTATAAATAAGTTCAGTTTGAAGCACTAATTTGGATACTTAATGGCTACTTCTTTAAATGTAAAACCTGTATGTGAGCTGTCAGTTATGTCTTTTTCACATACAACATAAAGAACGAAAAGAGCAAGAAAATGTGTCCTAAGAAAAAGCTGCAGTTAAAGTTATCATATAGTATATATTTTGCAACAGAGTGTGTTCTTTAAATATTGACCTTTGGAATCACGCTTTTAGTTTAGGGTCCTCAGTACATTATATACTGCATTCAATAAATGCAATCTATTAATCAATCATATATACGATAATATATCTTCCAGTCTTCCAGTCACTGTTGACTCCTTATGATTGTTTGACCTAGTTCCTAAAGTTACCTTGGCACAGTTTTGCATGCCATTGCCTCCTTCCTAGGGCTGAGAGAGAATGACTGGCCCAAGGTTACCCATCTGGCTTCATGTCCAAGGCAGAACAAGACTCAGTCATTTGATGCCTTGATTGCTACACATACTAGCTGAATAAAATTTAACTTTACAGGCTCTAATTATATGGCAATAGTTTGCTTTAAGTGTGATGGATTTCTGACAGTGCTGTCAAAATGTAGGCGCTCCTAGATAAAATTGTCAAAATTCCCTCTCTCTGCAGATTCTGTGGAAAAATTACACTGGGGAAAAAAAGGTGAAAATTTGTGTTTGGTAGATATCACAAGATTCAAGAATACAACTTCTTAGCAAATTAATATGGCTTATATTTTCATTCAAAATCCATTTCAAAAATGTTATTTTTCTCCATATTTGCTTTAAAATAACTTTACATTAATAGTATATATAACTATATATAAAGAAAATAGCTATGAATAAAATGAGTTATTTGCCTAAGATCAAGCAGGGAAAACAAGTTTAAATAAACAAAGCCACCAACATTCATTTATTTACGGTCCAAGACCAAGTCACAAAATTTAAAATACAGATCACTAATAGTTGCATATATAATAATACATACATACATAAGAGAAAGAACCCTATAAAATTAGCAACTCAATGGTGGCACCAAACCCAACTGTCCAGATGGATGATAAGAGTTTCATGCAAGTTATGCATTTCTTTTTTTTTTACCCATGTTCAAGTGGTAAACTAATATTAAGATACAGGAACTAATTCAGCATTATATATAAAATAAACTGTGCTTGTGTTATCTTATTTTACTAAAAGTGTAACTGCCTTCTTCTAAAGCTAGAAACACTTTTCCAGTTAAAACATAGAGCTTTCCGCTTTAAGTTTAGTTTAAGACTTCCTGGCTTACTAGAATGTCAGAGCAGAAAAGGAAGGAGTGACAGAAAGGTGGAGTACATAAGAAATAAAAATTAGGTTTTTTGACTCCTTTACTTTTCTGCATTTTTCCCCTTTTGTATTGGGTCTTTGCCTCAGCTGAATTGCAAGAAATCAACTCATTAACGTTTAATACATTTTAAATAAAAACAACCCTCTTCGTTTCATGGGACATTTTATCACTTAGATATTTGTCCCTAAAGGTATTAAGAGATATACTTGTCTCTAAATGTCAAGTATTTGCAAGCCATTGGCACATGTGTCATATAGACACCACTGGAGGCAGAGAGTGTCTCCACCCCTGTGTGGAAAGGAGGGGCTTACCCTGAGTATAAAACCTCCTCCAACCTTTTCCACCTTGCTCTCTCCATCTCTGTCTTTTCATGTTTGTTCCTCATGAGACTTGATCTCTGTTGTACATAGTTAATATGATTTATCATATGAATAAATACGTTTAAGACATTTATTTATGCATCTGCCTCTGAACTCTTCTATGCTCCTGGGTGTTTCTACGATCCCAATTCCACACTAAAGTTATTCAAAAGGTACAATGCTGTGCATGTATAGCACTGTATCTCTCTACCTCCCTTAAACATTCCATTTTAAAGTTGATCTTGGTTAAGATTTTATAATCTTAACTCTATAAAAATAACCTATTTGGAAGCTTCAGAATAAGCCAACATCTAAACCACAATTTGAAATTGTCTTTAAGCGACACCAATGGCAACAATTCAGCCCCCTCCAAGACTCGCCTCCAGATACATTAAAACTAAAAGGTGATCATGACTGTATTTTCCAATATCGTGTTTTATGTGAACAGATCCTACAAATTGGTAATAGTGGAGTTACAGTGCATGCCAGATGCTTCTGCAAATCTAATGCAACAGAAGGAGGAGTTCCTGCCAAATAATTCAAAGTTGGCAGTACATCCTCAAGTCTTTCACTATCTCCTTGCCTGAAGAACTAAAGCAGCTGAAGCAATGTCTGCTTATGATCGGCTGGCAACAGCTGAAATACCAACAACCACACTGATCTACTATTTCAACTTGCATCAGCAAAAAGTGGGGGCTGATGAGGATCAGCATCCTTTGAAAGTGTTATTTTTTTTTTTATTGCTAATTCGCAGCATGCCTTCGATTGGGGTTCTAAATCAAATGCTTACTGTATCAATATAGTGACAAATTTTAGCAATCTATTTTTTTTTCCTACCAGCTAATAGCTTCTCTTTTTCTTCCATAATCTTCAACTAATATTTAATCAGTTAAGAAGTGAAACATTATTTTCCACAATTAATACAACAAACAAAACCTCACTAAAATGAGTAACACTAAAATAGATATTAATTTTTCATTAATCTATTAAAACGTATTCTCATATATCTTTCCATACATGAACTGGAAGCACAATCCCAATATTTGTATGCTGGGTTTTGTTTGATTCTGGCTTAACATAGGGAATGAACCTGGTTATTGTGATGGTTTGTATTATAAATGAAGTTAAGTATGATTGCCTTCTTTATTGTTTTCTGAATATCTATCCTAATCAATATTTTATGCAGGCACTTGTTGCAATTACAGAAAAATAAAATACCTATGCAGAATTTAAAATGTGTCTAATTCTCAAATCAGCCTATCATATCTTAATTTAAGATACCAGAAAGTTATAATTCCAAAATGTTCATTAACAATTCAACTGCAGCTAAATTTGTGTTATTAATACAAAAACTAGGGCATTTCAACTACGTAAATTCAATTTCAGTACCGTATATCTAAATTCATACTAGATAGGCCATGTGTTTTATACACTTCTTCTGATTATCTTCTAGATTAGAACCTTCAAATGAAAATATCATTTCATGCTAATAAATTATTGGAAGGAGCATACTGCACTCATGCTAAAATATTTATTTTGTCTCCATTTTTTTTAGCATTTAAAACCCTAAATTACTTTTGTTAAGGCTGCCCTAGCAAATGCCTTTTCTCTTATCAGCACAATGCACAGGGAAGTTAGATAGGGTTTCTTTCTGTCAATGTAGAAAATACATACTGTATTCTCAATGATAGTATCTTTATTATAGAATCTCTTGTGGAATTCACTAGAATCTCGATTTTTCAACATCACATTTGAGACAATTTTATTGGTATGACCGTTACAGACAAAAAATTATTTTCCTCCTTTTTTTCCAGTAGATTCTGTTTACGGTAAAATCTTTCTTACTCTGAAGTTTCTCAATGTCTGTTAATATTATTACTACTACTAAATACTATTAAATAAATTGTATATCAATTTATTGGCACCCATGGCCAGCAACAGAATAATTGACTGATAAATAGTAAATCTGAAGTGGATATCCCCTTACTTTTACTGGTAAAGGTAAAGGTTCCCCTCACACAGATGTGCTAGTCGTTCCCGACTCTAGGGGACGGTGTACATCTCCGTTTCAAAGCCGAAGAGCCAGCGCTGTCCAAAGACGTCTCCATCGTCATGTGGCTGGCATGACTCAATGCCAAAGGCGCACGGAACGCTGTTACCTTCCCACCAAAGGTGGTCCCTATTTTTCTACTTGCATTTTTTACGTGCTTTCGAACTGCTAGGTTGGCAGAAGCTGGGACAAGTAACAGGAGCTCACCCCATTATGTGGCACTAGGGATTCAAACCGCTGAACTGCCGACCTTTCTATCGACAAGCTCAGCATCTTAGCCACTGAGCCACTGTGTCCCTACTTTTACTGGTAGAAAATGTAAATGGAATCTTTTATATTATAATGGTTGTCATTTACAGATCTATGAACAAAGAAAGCACAAGAAAGCAATGTACCGTAGTTTTATTTCTAATCCAGAAATTTTATTCTTTTGATCCTGTTCAATGCTGCTTTTCAGCTGTTTGGGTCCATGCTGGACAATTTTCCAGTGTTTGGGGGAAAGAAGATAATGTGCCCTTTTCACCTGAAGTTTTCGCCTCATAGCTGTAACAGCACTTGCATTTTGAGGAGGTAACTACTTACCACACATTCTTTTGTGGTTTCAGGTTGTTAGTTCCTGTATGAATGTTTGCTCTTTCAAGAGAATAAATTAGAAAAATGACTTCTTTTCCAGTTACAGATATAGTAAGATCAACTTCATCCTATAAAAGTCTGGCTATGCGCGCGCATGCACATGCACACATACACACACACGTATGTGTATGCTAACCAGGAAGATGAGAAACATTACTAACCTGCATTCAACATATGCACAAATTATTATAGAAATACATATACATACCTACACTAATGTGAACTGCGCAGTGAGGTAGATTTCAAATAACTGCTTAAGACACGTGGATGACTTGTTCTTAAATCTTTCTAGCAATGCTTCTTTTCTTGTTTTTGAACTTTAACCTAAAAATGTAGCAAGTGCACAAATTAGGTGATGTTTATTTTATCTCTACAGGTATCTTCTGGGCACCAGTTTGGTGTAGTTGTTAAAGGCACTGGGCTAAAAATGAGAGTTGTGAGTTTTAATCCTATGCTAGCACAAATCCAGCTGGTAGACTTCAACACACATACAAGAAGCCACTAGAAATAGAGATTCCTAACTTTACATTCCTCTGTTCTCTGCCAAAACATCTGATGTTACTTCTACTTATTTCTTCCTACTAAGCTGAGTGATGTTAATCACAATTCATGCTAACTATATCTAGCATTCTGCTGCATTTATAAAACCAAATATATCTTGGTTTGTTTTTAAGCTTCTGAAAGAGCATCTGATCAAGATGTGCAAGATCATACACAGCATAGAGAAAGTGAATAGGAAGAAATTGTTGCCCTTTCTCAAAACACTTCAATGAATAAAGCTGATTATAGGTAGTCCTTAACTTAAATGGAGCCCAAAATTTATGTTGCTAGGCAAGACAGTTATTAAGTGAGTTGTGCCCCATTTTATAACTTTTCTGCCACAATTGTTAAGAGAGTCACTGCAGTTATTCAGTGAATCATGCAGTTGTTAAGAGAATCTGGCTTCTCCCATTGAGTTTGCTTGTCAAAAGCCAGCTGGGAAGGTTATGAATGGTGAGCATAGGACTCCAGGACACTGCAACCATCATAAATACAGTATATGCTGGTTGCAAACTGCTCGAATTTTGATCACATGACCATACAGATGCTGCAACCGTCATAAGTGTGAAAACTGGTAATAAGTCACTTTTCAGTGTCATTGTAATTTTGAAAGGTAGTAAACAAATTGTTGTAAGTCAAGGGCAACTTGTATAAGGTAACTCACAAGAGCTGAAAAAGTACATATTCAAAGAGTCATGCAATTAATTTACACAGGATATGGTGATATCTACCAACTTCAAAGGCTTTAAAATATTATTCAATAAATTCATGGAGGACGAATCTATCAAGAGATACTATGATGGAAGACATAATTCAACACAAGTTGGGAGGTCCCATGGAATTTATTTCTCTACCACCTGACTAAAAGCATTCCAAAGGCATCATCACAGCTGCTCTAATATATGAAATGAAATAATATCCAATGCTTGTACTTCTGTTTTTAAGTTTGTAAGCCACCCAGAGTCGTGGTTAGTAAAATAGGAGGCATATAAATTTAATAAAATGAATAAATGCAGGACTAGGACAGACCCTCATGTTTTTATATTCTCCAGGCATAGAAGACAGATCCAATTTAAAATTAACAAGAACAGTTGTTTGTAAAAAAGAAAGAAAGAAAGAAAGAAAGAAAAAAGCCAGTTTGCAACCCAACTATACGATACCTTTCAGATCACTATGGTTGAAATATTCTATTCAATGCATAGCCACAAAAGGACAGATTACTATTCTTTGCTTCAAAAGGTAAGGGCAAATACCATCATGCGTCAAGTATTATGAAATTCAAAGCAAGTCCGACTCAATGATTTCATTTCTGTAAGAGTTTTAACGACACTGTAACAAATCTTCCATTAATCTCTGTACAAGGAAACATGATTGAAAATGAAACAAATGAAGGTATAGTAATATGACTGGGCTTTCAGTCACTTTTGCCAGAATTTTTAACACTCTAGGCTGAATCACATAAATAACTAGAAACATATATGATGATATAATATATGATGAATTGTTTCATAACTTGTTAAACTTACTTACAACAAGCAGGTAGTTATGCAGACACTTACTCAAACTCTGGGAGCATATTAAAAATTCTCCCACACAGTAGGCGTAAGATTGCTGTAGTTCAATGTTTGTTTTCAACTGCCACTATATTTTACTCATTCATTGGATACTATGCCAGATACACTTCTAAATCAGACAGTCAACCACATGTAGTACATTTCAACAAGTGTTATTTAAGGAAAACTGAGGAAGCAATAATATCTCGTAACAAGCTTGTTCCAACTATTAGCAAGAATTAGGATAGAATGAGGAAGATAAAATAAACAAGTGTACTGATTATACTATATTCAAATCTTTCTACTGCAATCATATATGCATTTATTACAAATTGGCTATATATTTTAAATAAAATACTTACAGACACCAGATACTTTATATCAAGTGATAAACTTACAGAGTTCCCGTGGAATAGGAAGAAAATAGGTTTCATTTATACCTTTTACACTACGTTTCCCATAGAATAGGAAGAAAATAGGTTTCATTTATACTTTTTACACTATGTTTCCCATAGAATAGGAAGAAAATAGGTTTCATTTATATCTTTTACACTACGTTTCCCATAGAATAGAAAGAAAATAGGTTTCATTTATACCTTTTACACTACATTTACAGTCAGTCAATGTATTCCAGCCATTGATCTGTTCAAAGAACTTTCTTGAATCGGGGAAATGCCTGGACTTTATCACAACTCATATCAAAACCACAGTTTGTAGGCTTCTGTGAAGCCTCAAGAGGCAGTGAATTTTCAATCAATGCTTCCCCGATGCACCACCCCCTTGAGATGTGCTATGGAAAATGAAGTAGCACTTCACTCTGAGCATCACATCAGAACATCTGTGTCATATAAAACACAGCTTTGCTGGCCTCCAGGCACTCTCCTCCACCTGCTTTGAGTAGAAGCGTAGAGCAGAGCACCTAGTTTATCTGCATCATGGCATCAGCTGTTAAGTGGATCATTCCAGGTTAAGGTGGTGGATTGGCTTTAGAATACACCTAGGCCCTTGTACTACTCTACTCTTAGCTATAGAAGATCAATGTTACTGAGTTTGGATCAGTTACAATTTCTCAGATAAGCTATTGGGGAAAAACAGAAGAAGGAAGCATCGTGTATACCGCCTGGTTCTCCTAAATAAAATAAAAAAAGACAAGCGCCTGGGATGTAATGTTAACAAATAATTACTATAAGAGGGAATCACACTTTATACAGCCCTAACAATTTCGACATATGAATAGCAATTCCTCCTGCAAAGCAAGAACTTTAGCAGCAACATACATGACTAATAAGCTCTCTGTACTGTGTTCTTTGTGGCCGATTCCCAGAGCCCAGAATTCTTCCTCTTCTTCCTCTCCACTCTAGGAACACCCATACTTATTTTCAAAGGCCCAAAGGTCAGGCAGCAGTATCACAACACTTAATAAAAGGACAAACTTTTTCCACTCTAGTTACTGCAGAACAACTATTCATATGACAGCACATTCTCATTTGTAGATATTCACTGGAATATAAATTATTCCAGCTAATTCAAACTGTCCTTTCCTATCCTTTTGCACTGAAGTTTACATTCATGTTATTGAATCAGCTGAATCATTTTTTTTTAAAAAAACTAGTTAAAGCAGAACACTGTTGCTAAAGCTTTGATGGACTATCCATAATTTCCTAAAGAATCCCAAATTATAGTGTGTCTTATTTATTCTGCTTATTTATGAATAAATAAGCAGAAAGCATAATTTAGTATAAAACAGGGAGGCTACTATAAGGAAAATTAACTTCCCCTTCATAGTCTTCAAGTTTCAGCATATATGCTATGGAAGTTTCAAAAACTTAGAACATTTTGCTATACACTTGAGCCATAATGTAGAAATAAATTATCAACTGCTAACAGTACAATCGGCACCAAGAAAAAAGCCTATGAAGAAAAGAAATGTATGGGGAATGGGCATGAGGAATGAAGAAATTGGACAAAGATGGAAAGAACTATTTCAGAGTAATCTGTAATGGAGGGATAAATAAAAGCATATTCAACTAAAAGTAAATCATGTGAAGCAACAATTAGTCTTGCAGTTCTGGACATTTTCCAGCTTGCTATAAAAATGGAGGATTGCAAGAGAGAAGCAACAACAGAGGAGGAGGAGGAGGAGGAGAGGGGGGAGGAACTGTTACAATTTTTGCTGTCGCTTTTATCAGCTAGCCCAGGCCTCTCTTGAAGGAACTCATTGAAGCAACTGCCATATAAATAGCAGCTGGCCTACCAGTGATAGAGGTCACTTCAGCTTTACCTGCAGTAGCAGGAATTAAAACGATTTGCAGTTTCCAGCATAATCTCAGTAATAAGACGAACATTTAGCTGTATTTTAGATTTATGTGATAGTTTAAACCATTGTATTGTTTACTCAAGGTCATTAGTATCTGAATTTGTAGCGTAGCGCCTATCTTTTAATTCTGATCAGCAGAGCGCCATGCTAGCCATTTTAAGACTCATATTAAGAATTAGTGTCTAAATTCTCTACATCTTCCTAACAGGGTCCGTTCTGGTTAATTGGTTAATGAGAATAAGTCAATTTCAAATTATGGTTTTGAAACAAGCATATTTCCATTAATAATTGTGGTTAAGCAATATTTGCTAGAATTAAAAAACATACTGTAACAAATTACAAGACACCTAAGTAAAATGTAACATTACAATATAGCTCCTTTGCAAGAACAAATGGAAGGATTCTCACTTAATAATCAGGGGTTTTCCATAACAGCAGGTTGCTAATATCCTAATATCCCAGCAGAATGGCCAATAGAGTATTTAGCATCATAGCCAAAGACATTTGACATTTACTATATTTGGAAAAATTGTAGGCAGTTGTTACATACAATTAAATATGCACAAAGTGAGGAAGCTCTGGAACTCAAGATAACACTCCCTTGTTTCCTCAAGTATCAAGTCAGTGACAAACTATGTACATTTGACCAAATAGCTATGATATATAGAATCATTAAGAATAAACTAACAAAATTATGTACATATTAATCTTCAAAGATTTCAAGCAAAAGAAGTATGAAACTTTATACTATGTGCCTTAATATACCAGTAATCATTCTAATGCTGAAGCGTTCACATGTCATTGTCAGTTCTTTCAGAAATACTGGACAATAGCAATGAAGAAACCACAGATCTGAATGCTGTAGTATTATACTAAAGGAAAAGACATCTTCAATCCATAAATGACTGACTGGAGAACAAGGAACTTCACTTTGATCATAATCCTAAATTTCTTAAACAGTTAAGCATTTCAGACAGATAGCAGTAATGAAAGCAGTGTTAAAATATGACTCTCAGATCAGACTCTCAAGTGCTCAAAAAAAAAAAATCACACCCACCTTCTATATTTAATCCACCTGCTACACGGATCCAAATTAAAAATGCTATTGAACATACCTCATCATGTCACCTCACCTATTTCCATTTCCAGATGCTACTTGTCTGCTCTTCCCTACCCCCTTTCCCCACATTATTTCAAACGCAGAACAAACATTAGCCAATAGCAGCAGGCAAAGTATTCATATCCTTATAACCATTTTACACTGAGCAATTCCACTTTGCAAAGTCATTTGCCAAGTAGACCAACACATTTGCTTCCAGGGCTCATCTTATTACATTCATGTTAGATATTTCCAAGACATGTTTTATAATTCATATTCATGGGATAACCATTCTTTTATTTTATTCATACTTCACTCATCAGTAGATATGCAAAATTAATCTTAGAGCCATTGCATTTTAACTTTATAATCTTCCCCAAGCCACTTGCTTTAATACTGGTTATCTTCCCCAAACTTGTAAGTGTTCCCATTATTCATAGCAACAAATATATCTTAATCCCACTATTATTAAACTTTAGATGTTACAATTCCATCATAACTATACTCTAAAATAAATACAAATTTATTGTTGGTGGCTCATAATACTAAATTAAATTGTTTTTCTTCATCTTTGATATGAACAGCAACTAGCCTGAAAATAAGTAAAAATGAAATCATATAATTTTCAACACAGAAAAAAGGTGAACATTTTAGGACAATTTTGATTAATTTTTAAAAACGCTGCCATTTCTTTTAAGCTTCATATTAAAAACAATAAACTATTAAAATAAAATTTTAAATTTTCTTAAGAAAGATGGCAAATTGATGAATCAAAATACACCTGTATCTATCAATATCATAATCTGGAACTGTTTTATATTCTTATTCAACACAAGGTTGACTTTATTCTTAAAATTGCCACATATTAGACACATTGTTTTGGCTGTTTAGGTTTTAAAGTAGAACACATTGAAAGGAAACAAAATTCTCTTGTTTGGAAGAACTAGTATTATCTATAAAGGGACATTGTTGCAATTCTGGAAAAAAGTACTCCCGTCTATTCACTTCCTAGAGCTAAGTGTTTCACAAGGAAAACTGTGAGCTAAACAGCACCCGTGGCAAGGCTTACAAGTTTTACACCATTTTTATATACTAAGCCAGAAAGACAATACCAAACTATCAACACCCATTGAAAGAAAACGCCTACTGCCACTCATTAAACACTTAATAAAGATAGATTTCTAAACACGTGGGTTCTCCAATCACCAACAGGGCACCTACATAAGTAGGAACAATGTTTTGCAATGACATAAAAAGAACCTTGTCATGTTTTTTCCTGGCAGAAAAATCAAGCCTTATTTTTTTAAAAAAAACTTAGTATAATGTTGTTTGTTTTTATTTTATTTTTAAGTACTGTCAGTAAAATTGAAAAATTAAATTGTTCGGCAAGCATGAGAAAATGTTTCCATGGTTGTCTTCTCCCAGTAGACCAAAACAGGTATCTCTATTGATGTTACAGAATGTGGATAAATATTTCCAGCTAGAGTTTGCCACTCTAGCCAAGGCCAACTCAAAATTTTAAATAAAAACAAAAAGAGCAATGTACTCCTCTGTTTATTTGATGAGAAAGCATCCCTTCCATTACATCTGCCATAATGTAGTAGCTCTTGAAAGCCTAAGCCCTAAACTCGAAAAAAGATTCTCCTGCTCAATCCATTAACCGCTTCCCTTCTTATTTCACAAACATGCAAACTAAGAATGCAAAACATCCCAAACTTAGTCTCGGCATCCAACAGTTTTATTTGACAATAAAAATTTCAGGAAGTTAAAAAAAAAAAAAACAGCTGGTACATCACTCCCAAATATCATACCATCATCACAAAACAGACCCATCCCCAAACTATATCACCATTTGCTTTTTATATTGTAGCTTTACACTTCTATATCCTTTTTTACATTATGGAATGGGGACTGGTCTTTGGCCATTACAAAGTTTTTGTGTGACTCTTGTTCATTTCATAGACAAATGAGGGTGAGAGTAAAGTGGAAAAAATAAGGGTATTGTCAAGAGAGCATATGGAGAAGTATATGGAGGAATTAACAGTCTTTGAGAGAGAGCAAGAATATACCAAGAAAAAGGCATCCTTCCTCCCGCACATTTTTCCTAAAGAGCTAATACTAGGAAGATTGCCATTTACATAACTTATTCGCTCCATTTTTCTCTTACTCGGCCAACCTCACTACTTCCTAAAAAATACCATGAAAAATCAGACAAGATGGCATGGATTAAAAAAAAAAACCGAAGCCTTCTTCTGACATCTTAATATGCTTGTAAACTGCCTTGAACATCTTGTCCTGGATAGTAAAAACAAGAAATGAAGAGATGTAGAAAACGATCTTCCTGATCTCTAAAAGATCCTACTGAAAAAGACTTGGGTAAAAGTGTTAAAAAAAAAACCCTCTCTGGTTGGATATACACAAAACGCACAACCTCTGGAGCAGCACATTTCGGCCCTTATTTTTGCAACTCCACATTCTGCTAACCATATCCAAAAAAAAAAAAAAAAGAAGAACATTCCCCCAAAGTGTGAAAAATCCTGAATACAGGTCAATTCAACTGCAATCCAGTATAGAGGGGAAAAAAATGTCTGTGTCTTATATAGAGAATCAAATACAGCTAAGTCCTCAACCTAGAACCACAATGGAGCCTTAGCATTTATGAGGCTATGTCAGAAATCTGTTAAGCGAGCTTTGCCCCATTTTACGACCTTTCTCGCCACCTCTGTTGAGCAAATCACGGCAGCCGTTAAATCAACAAAGGCAAGGTTGTTAAGCGAATCTGGTTTCCCCCCCTCCCCCTCAATTGACTTTTGCTCGTCAGGAGGTCGCCAAAGGCGATCCCGTGACTCCTGCAAAACCGTCATAACCGCGAGTCGGCTGTCAAAAGCATCGCCACGTCAATCAACGTGACCGTGGAGAGGCTCCGACGGTGGTCGAGTATGTGGAGGGGTGGAAAAAAAACAGCCGTCCAAGTTTTCTCAGCAATGTTGTAACTTCAGTCCCCCCTGGAAAGCAACGGCTTGTACGTCGAGGACTACCTGTAAAAGGCACCTTAAATGCAAGGTACATTGCACACACGAAAACGCAGGCACGTTCACACACGCCTTAAATGCAAGGCACATTCACGCTGCCAGATATTTCCATCCAGACATTTAATTTCCATTAAACCAACCCCCCCACCACCACTCCGTCCTCCCCAGCTGTTTACAAACCTGCGGATACAGGATCCACCTGGAAATATGCCCCAATTGCCACCGTCACCCCCCCCCATCCATCATTCCTCTTACCAATAGGGACCTAAACCTTCCTAACCCCAACCCCCCCCCCAGACGCCAAAGTTCCCTTCAGACGACGCCCCGGGACACGCGTGTACGCCTTTCTGACATGCCCAGAGCATCCCCTCTGGGTGTGGGGGGTGAGGAAGGAGAGGAGACGGCCTCTCTATGTCGGTGAAGACTCCCTCTCTCCCCCCCCCCCCCACACAAGACACGGGTCTTGTCTGGCCATCCCCACGTCCCTTAAACGCAGCGCTTATCCGGGATGGAAGCGCCGAAAAGCGCCTTGTTCTTTTTTTTTTTTTTTTCTCCATCGCAGCCCCCCCCCCACCCCCCCCCACCTGAAGTTGGAGAGGGAGAACTTGCTGGCTCGCTCCTCGCTTTACGACCGTGCCCCCACCCCCCACCCCCCAATGCGAGGCCGTTGCTGACTCCTTCCTAACTTGAGGGAAGACTTGAGGGGAGCTCAATGACCAGCTTTCTCCCCCCCCCCACCCCAACTCCCCCTCCCTTTCTTGAGGGGATTTTGGCGGCCCTGACTCTTCGCAGCCCCCTCAGCCTTTGAAGCCCGGCCTCCTTCCTTCTTCTTTCTTTCTTTCCTTCCTTCCTTCCTTCCCGGGAAAGCGGCCAGACTCACCCATCCGCCGCCGTTGCTTCTGCCGCTTCTTCTGCCGCCGCCTCCTCCTCCTCGCCGCCGTCTCCTCCGGAGACACTGACACGGGCGCATGGATATCCACGGGGCGCTATTTTTAGGCGACGCGGCCGGAACTGCTTTCGGTCCTCCTCCCGTTCGCTTGGAGCTGGGTGGGATGGATCACCGCCCTCTTTCGCTTATGTGTTCTTCCGCGGGTCTACTTGACACCATGAGGGGGAGCGGGCGGGAGGGAGTTTTTTTTTTTTTTTTTTTAGAAGAGGCCAAGGAGGCTCTTTGCTGACTTTTCTTTTTTTCTCTCTCTTTCTCTTTTTTTTTTTGAAGTTTCCTCCTTTCCCCCCCCCCGGTTGGAACTATATTTACTTAACAGTAGGGGAGCGGCTGGGGTTGTGACGTTGCTCATGACGTCAGGGCGCGAAGGCCCGAGCGGATAGGGCGGTGGGCGGGAGCGGAGGCAGCAAGGATCCAATCAAGGGGTGACGTAGGGGAGAGAGGGGCGGTGGGCCAATCGTGGAAATGTTGATAGGTGGATCCCCCTTCCTTTGCTTGACAAGGCGCAACGCCAATCAAAGTGCCGTAAACCGGATAAGAGCAGACCAATCAGAACTTAGAAGGAGGCGGGTGCTGCTCGAAGAGACCTTGACAGCGATACGGAGTGGAAATGATCGCGCGCATGCGCCCAAAGCGCCTTCCTTCCTTCCTCTTTTTTTCCTTAAGGGAACGAATGACGCAGAAGCGAGAAAGGATTCGCGCATGCGCAGTTGTTCGTCCTCCTCTACGAGTCTCTTCCCTACGGAGGAGGCCTCCTTCGCGGGCACCCATTTGTTTCAGCCTTTTCTTTTTGCACAGCACCGTTAAAACTCGCTATGCCCGCGTCATATCACTCTTTCACCCGTTCCCTATACACACGCCTTGGGGAGGCACAGAAAGCGGCCGCTGGGAAAGAAGAAGCCTGATTGGTTGAAAGGCGTCTTAAGAAGCCGCTGTCAGGAGGACTCCAGCCAATCGCCGCCCTCCTATGAGCACGCGTTCTACCAGTCCCGCCCACTCTATGTAAATAATAGTTAAATGAAAATACACAGGAAAATTTAGGGAGAAGAAGGGATAAAATAAAAAGTGCAAAAAGCAAGAGAGAGCAAAAATAAATAAATGATTTCCCGGCTTCTTTGCAATATCCGTCCTTTTTCTTTAAAGTTTACAGTTCTGTACACAGATTTTTCTATCCCATATTTATTTAACTCTTCAATCTGCAAATCCAAAACTCATCATTTCACTTTTTTTTCTTTGTTCAGCAAAAAGCCCATAAAATATTTCCAATCTTTTATAAAAAATATTTAATACTTTATCCCTTAATCAAACAGATCAATTTTTGCTAATAGAATAGAACAGAATGTAGATATAGAATAGAACAAAAAAAATATTGTCACTTTAAATGTACACTAACCAGTATACATTAAAATGAAATTTCATTGCATTCAGCTCTCAAAAGATAAGCATTACATACACACAGATATATGACACAGAGAAACATCACACTCTAGTTCCAATACATGGCAGAAAAAAAGAATTCTGTCCCCTTCACAACCTCTATGTCCTGGGCCCCAGAAAAGTATCCTGATTGGTTGTCAGACTCCCAGGGGGTGGGGGTCTTAGCTGGCCTTGCTGGCTGATGTAATCTTCCCAGGTGCATTGTGGTGAGTTTCTGTTGCTAGATAGGTCCTATTGTGTTGCAGATGATGGTCCATTAACAAAGATTAAGTTTCTGCCTCTGGCCCATTGAGACAAAGTGGGGGCAGGAAGATGGGAGCTGCTTTGTCTTTAAAACATGCTTCTCCATTTCTCATCCAGGGAAACATATTCTGCCTTTTTAATATTTCCTAAAATATTTCATTCTTCTAGGAAAGGGGTGGGTGCTAACTTCCTACACTTATGCATATAATAATCTTACCATAAATAAAACCACTCTTCCATCAAGTTTCTAATTGATTATTCATAAGTCCCAGTAAAAACAGTCCCTCCCACTCTAGAGGGATTCTTAAGAGCACAAATGTGTAAATGCTGATGCGGAACTTAAGTGTCAGAGTTTGTTGCAAAAATTAAATCCAGAAAGCACACACAGGCAGACTGATGCAGCAGGATTCATTAACTTCTTTATATACATAATAATACATGAAGTAAATTTACAATACCAACAGCACAGGGGTGGGTTCTACTTACCTTTACTATCAGTTCAATGGCCCATTGACAAAGTGGGGAGGGGGCTGAGTTTCTGCTCTGTTTTAGGGGGAATATTCTGCCCTTTTAATATTTCCTAAAATATCTCATTTTCCTAGGAGAGGGGTGGGTACTAACTTCCTACACTACTCTACTCTACTCTACTCTGGTTTGTTCTTTATTTTATCGAAGGAAATATAGTCAATACTGTTCTACACAGGTAGCCCACAATTGAGCCCAAAATTTCTGTTGCTAAGTGTCAGTTGTTAAGTGAGTCATGCCCCATTGTACGACCTTTCTTGCTACAGTTGTTAAGTGAAGCGCTGCAGTTGTCCAGTTGACTTTACATGTCAGAAGCTCACAAAAGGTGACCGCATGATCCAGAACACTGCAACTGTCCTAAATAAATGCCAGTTGCCAAGGACCCAACTTTTGATTGCCTGACCATGGCATCGGGATGCTGAAATGGTCATAAGCCATTTTTTTCAGTGCTGTTGTAACTTTGTACAGTCACTAAACAAATTGCTGTAAGTCGAGGACTACCTGTACTGCACTGGTGAGGCCATTTTTTGGAATATTACATCCAGTTCTGTTCATCACAATACAAGATTGCCCTAGAAAGTGTAGAGAGAAGAGCAAGCAGTTCAGGGGCGTGGCCAGCCAATGTTATTACCAGTTCTCGGAACTACTACAAATTTCTACTACCAGTTCTTGCGAACCAGGACGAACCGGGAGCAACTCACCACTGTATGGCATGCGTGCCAGAAGTGGCACCTAGAGCCATCTCTCCAGGCACGCGAGCCGTCGCCCGTTGCTCTTCCAGGTTCTGGAGTACCAGCCAGCTGATCTTCATGCACGCGGGAGTGCCGGAAACCAGAAACTAGAAACATTCACAGGCCAGTGTGCATGTGCGTGCCAGAAACCGGAAGAACATCCGTCTGACACGTGTGCACACCAGGTGGCGGTTTCCGGCACATGTGTCTGCGCGCTCCTGTTTGAGCACTCGGTGCTGAAAAGGTTCGCCAACACAGGTCTAGAGGCTAAATCCTATGAAGAACAGCTAAAGGAACAGTTTAGCTTAATGAAAAGGAGGCTGAGAGGAGATAGGATAGCAATCTTCCAATACTCTAAGGGCTGTCATCAGGCAGAAGATGTCAATTTATTCTCCTTCCTGAGGGTAGGACAAGAAGCAATGGGTGGAAGCTCATCAGAGGAAAACCCAATCAGGAAATAAAGAAGGAATTTCCTGACAGTGAGAATTAATCAACAGAACAGCTTACCTCTCAGAATTGTGGGTGCTCAAGAAAAGATTGGACAAAAATATGATAAAAAGACTACATACTTGATCTTGCATATACTAACTGCAACTAGAATTGTATCCGCGCAACAATGGAAAAAGGATAAGATTCCATCTGAGGGGAATGTAATTAAGAAAATACTAGAATGTGCAGAAATGGATAGATTAACACTTACTATTAAGGATAAAGAAGAAACTGAATATTTTTTGATATGGGACATATTTTATCAATAGCTAGACAATAGAAACAGAAGTTAGAAAGGAGGAGATATAAAAAGAGGAAATGTTAAAGTGGAGAGTTTTGAAAAAGATGATGTTAAGTATTAATGTTATTATGTTATTATGTTATTATGTTATTATATTATCAATATGATGGTGATAAATATCCCAACAAAGATGTGTAATATGACTATTTAAACATAACTGTACCAGTGGTGAAATGTAAAATTTGTTACTACCAGTTCTGTGGGCGTGGCTTGCTGGGGGTTAATGTGACTGGGTGGGCATGGCCAACTTTTTTTTTTTTACTTTTACTTTTAAAATCATTTTTTTCTATAACCTCTTCGAAGAGGTTGTAAAAAAAATGCTTTTAAAAGACTGACAATCAGGCAACTCAGCTGGGATCATCAGAGGCTTTTAAAAGCATTTTTTTAATATAACCTCTTCAGCTGGAGAGGTTGTAGAAAAAATGCTTTTAAAAGCCTCTGACGATCCCAGCTGAGCCACGTGATCATCAGAGTTTTTTTTTTTTACTTTTAAAAGCATTTTTTTGGCCAAAGAGGTTGTAGAAAAAATGTTTTTAAAAATTAAAAAAACAACCTCTGATGATTGCGCGGCTCAGCTGGGCATGCGGGGGGGCAGGGATTTTTGCTACCGGTTCTCCGAACCACCCGTCGACATCGCAACTGGATCGGGCGATCCGGTCCGAACCGGGAGCATTTCACCCCTGAACTGTACCAGAACACACACTGTTTGATGAAAATTGAATGTTATATAAATAAAACAAAACATAAAAAAAAAAAAAGATTGGACAATCATTTCTCTGCAATGGCGTGAGAACTCCTGCTATGGGCTGGGGAATTAGACAAAAGACCTCCAAGATCCCTTCCAGGTCCTTATAATTCTACTCATAGATCGTATAATTTGGTCCCTTCTTTTGAGGTCGCTTTAATATCCGAGAATAATTTGGTCACATGGTTTTATCTAACGTTTTCGCATTTTTCGTCCTGCCTTCTTTTCTATATCATAGTAAGGATGTTAAGGGATTAATAGGACTTTCCTTAATATCTCCAGATGTCATACCCAGAGGATTAGACAATCAATCATGTAATAAGATCAGGCCCCGTTTCTACCTGGATGATATTACCGTTCTCCCCTAAGGTTTTCTTCTGGTGAGTTTTCTACCAGATGTGAATATTTTTAATGAATTCTGACAAGAAAGCTGCTGGCAATATTATAATCTGGGTATTTCCCATTGCACTCCCATCAGAAAACGTTTTTTTCTGAGTCATCCTCAGTAAACACTCCCATTGAAGTAATATTTGAAGCGGGTGTGTTCCCTTCTGTGCTCATAATAGACGA